TTTAATTTTATTAAATTTATTATATAATTATTATTAAATACTTTTATATTATTAATCTTCTTGAGTTTCTCTTTCTTTTTTATTAAATAATTATTGTGAATGTGAACAAATTTTATCTGGGATTAAAAATATTAAGATTGTGAAGATTTTAAGAGGTTATAATAACTAAGGTGACTCCTTTTATTAGAAATTAAAAGTCTTAAAATTGAGCATTCTTTAAACATTTAAGTGATCTCAATTTTTAAAAATTATATATAAGGATTTGGATGAGTGATTGTAGCCAATGTTCAACAAAGAAAGAGCAAGAATAACCCCGGTTAAACTTGTGTTTTTCAACTGGTGTCGAAAGCTTTTAAACGTTTATTATTTGAGCTGTGGCGTGAACTTTTAGAATTTGAGTTTTAAGTGCTTTAATTAAGCATTTTAGAGGGATTTAAATAGTTTTAATTTTATATAAAAAAAATTTTAATTGTATCTTTAAAATACATGTTAAAAGTATTTTTTCATCATAAATATGTATAAAAAAATTAAAAAAAATTGACAATTAAAAAAAAAAAGAAAAAGAGTAACCCTTCAAATACTCTGTAGAATTTACTATGAAGTTTTAACCTTTTCAAAAAAAATTCCCTTTTTTAAAATTTAATTTAGTTTAGTTAATTTTTTTAATTCAAAATTAATTGAAATTTTTTAAAACTCAAAATGAAAAAATAATCAAAGTACTAAGGAGTACTAAACTAACTCGATTAATCTCTTAGGCAACTTGAAACCATTTGTCTACTCTTTCTTCCATTTAAAAAAAATATTTTAGTTTTACGTTTGTTGACGAATACTTAAGATTTTTTTTAAAATAAATTGAAAAATCAAGTGTGAAAATTATAAAAATGAGAAAGTCGCTACTCGTCCAAATTATAAAATGAGACAAGTCACCAAAAATAAGTTTGCGCAGAGATCGAGGTTAAAGAATTCAATTAGGAATGAGAAATGGCAGGTTAAGGAGTTCAGTTAGGAATGAGAAATGACATACGTGCACCTCACAATTCTCTGCTTAAACACGGAGGCATACTTTAACATTGGGGGTTTTGATTCAATTGATTCATCATGTTTATGTTTGAGTCTTAATAGGAAAACTTAAAAAAAGGAATAAACCAAATTGAAACATTTTTTAATTTTTTGGACTAAAATGGACTAAATCAAAGACATGCATGCACAATAACAGAAATATAAGGTTAAGGGACTAACTTGATTAAATCCGAAAGATAGAGGACTGATTTGATTAAATTCAAAAAAAAAACATGGAAGATTGATTTGAAAAGATTTGAAACATTTGGACTAAGGTGCTTGAACATGAGAGTTTTGTGCGAAATTGAAATAAAAAAGAGATAACTTTTCTTTTCTTTTTTTTTTTTTAAACAAGATTAAGGCAAATGGGAGATTAAAATTAATTAATTATGATAATTAATTCAATTGAAT